GCCTAATTTGGACATTTTCACTTAGGGGTTTACTCACTTTTGTGGCCAGCGGTTTAGACATTAATGGCTGTGTGTTGAGTTATTTTGAGGGGACAGCAGATTTACACTGTTATACAAGCTGTACACTCACTACTTTACATTGTAGCAAAGTGTCATTTCTTCAGTGTTGTCACATGAAAAGATATAATACAATATTTACAAAAATGTGAGGGTGTACTCACTTCTGTGAGATACTGTAAGATTGACTCTTTAAGAACTTTTTATTCAATTTCATATCAAGACAGGTATCACCCTGATATGTTGGACATTATGGTTTATGGTTGTTTATGGTCATTATGGTTGTTGGGTGACGGGAAACACATGAATTGGACAGATGATGAGATGAATGGAGAAACAGACGGATAAATGACTGAGAGATGAAACAGAGAGCTTCAGAGACGTGTGTGTGTGTCCCGCAGGTGCGGTCTGGCTCGGAGCGTCTTCTGAGTCTTGGTTCAGGGATCCAGATGGAACCAGCGTGAACCTGCGGGCCGCAGCGAGTGTAAGTCCAGTGAACAAACACACAGATTCATGTCTGATTCACACAAACGCTGCTCTAGAGTAAGACAAGAGTCGTTTCAGAGATTTGAGAGTCAGTTTGATGCTCTTCAGCTGCAATGAGGCTGTTTTCAAGCGCAAACCTGCTGATATAGGCCTTGACACTGCATGAACACACACACACACACACACACACACACACACACTCGCACATACACACACACACTCACACGTCTGATAGGTCTTAATGGCACCATTAGACCTGATCGTAATTAAACTAATGATCTGTTTTAATTCACCTCCAGCATCAGATAGAGAGATGCAGTGTTTTGTTTTGTTTCTCTCCATCACAATCGTTTCCAATAACAGCTGTTTTTTTAAAGCCTTTATGTGTTTATTTTGATGTTTTATTAAAAACAGTCAGAGTTCCATGATTACTAATAAATGGACATCATTTCAGCAAAAACAGGTTTTGATGCTAATGTTAGCATACCATAGTTAATATAGTTGTATAAATGCATCATTCACCGCTCACCATAAACATG